AATTGTTCTGATCTCAACCCACGAGTCCTGTAGTAGGATATGTAGTGATAGGACAAGGGGTAATGGTTTTAAGCTAAAAGATAGTAGCTTCAGACTAGATGTAAGGAAGAAATTTTTTATGAGGGTGGTGAAACACTGGAACAGATTGCCCAGAGAGGCGGTAGATGCCTTATGCCTGGAAACATTCAAGGTCAGGCTGGAAGGGGCTCTGAGTAACCTGTTCTAGTTGAAGATGTCCCTGCTCACTGCAGGGGTGGCTGGACTACTAAAGGTCCTTTGCAACCCAAACTATTCTATTATTCTATGATTCTATAAGTCCGTTAACATGGACAGTACTTCTGCCTTTGGGAATATCTGACAATTTCAGTCTTCAAAAGCTCTCACTACATGGCACTCCCAGAAAACAAACAAGAAATTTTAACTGAATTAATTCTGAATTTTAAAAACTTTTGAAATCCTTATTGGTTTGGAATTAAAATTTTGGATTTAAATCTTCCTTGTAAATATTTTTTCTTCTTGTTCTTGATGTATGAGTACATTTATATTCAAAATATAAATGCTTGGTTTACAGAGAAACCTAAGGAAACAGAACTAGAAAATAAAAGGTTTATACTTACTAATAACATTAGCTTGTCCGGTGAAGATGGTGTACTGCAGCTCATAAGAGACCACACTGAACTCATCATCTGACGTCCAGTGGACAGTAATAGTATCATAAGAAGCTGTACAGAGCTCTTCTCGAATGGTGGGTGGGTTGGGAGCTGTGAGATACAACAGAGGAGACTTACTGACACAATTAATACAATATTTCCCACCTCACCTGAGATTAAGGCACCTGATTCATGAGTTTGCAGCTATACCATATGACAGACTTTTCAACAACTTTTCACTAATTCCAGCAGTAACTTAGATTGTCAAGAAATTGTTGCAAATGAATTCTTTCTGTCAATATAACCACGTAGGAACTCCAGATTTTGAAAATGTTTTGTATTAAAGTAGCTTTAGTTTAAGATGCCCTAGCACAAGTGATGTTTTGGTGGTCACATTAAACTGTGATTACTGGGTACAACTGACATGTTATTTTTTCTAGGTTAGTTTCTGATCACTAAAATTATCAAAGTTTCATTGAAGCATATATCAATAGGGAGAGGCAACATTCTTCACTGTTGACTTGAAAGCAGTGTTTGCCTCACTTATCTTACCAGAGGTCGGCTAAGTGGTATTTAAAAAATATAATTTGGGGGAAGCCTCCAAATACTCATGCTTTCACGCTCAATCTCTCCAAGCTAATTTTTATTTATTTCCTAGCTATCCTTCCTAATATAGATGCACACAATTTCTGTTGGCTATACAACTCTCTTTTCAACATTACGTCAAGATTTTTTATAATAACCATGACTGTATGACTATTAGTACCCAAGCTTCATTGTCATTGCTAATTAAATAATTGTAGAAAACAACCCAAACACTTGAATAAAAGATTGTCTCCTTGGTTGTTGTTTTTTTTTTTAAATCAACAAACAAGATATCCGTGTAGCAAGCTACAGATTCCTCTCCCATATTAACACAGGTTTATTTTAAAGACCTATGTTAAGAAGTGAAACTTGAACCAAACTTCTTAGGTTTAAATTTTCCTTGTTTGCATTCTCTACAAAGCCAAGCACCTAAATAAGAAACAAACGAGTCTTTCTTTGAAAGACTGGTGAGCCTTTCTGCATCCTTGTCTCGGTGGGAGCCTCATTCCTAATCATCTTCCCTACAGTCACCATCATGCAAAAAGAAAAAAAAAATCCTTGTACTTAATAGTGTTCGTTCCAGCTGTCACAGAGTGAGGAAGGAGGGCATTCAAGCTGAAACAACCACCATATGCCTGAATTAAAGGAAAAAGAAGGCAACTCTGCATGGTATTTTTGCTGTCAGCTCTTTAACTTCTGTTAGCCACAAATAATGGCGTCAAAAAAAGTCCCTCTGGAGGAATTCCATCCTTACTTTTGCAACAACTTTTTTTTATGAAACATCCATTTTACTTTCCTTTAAGAATTTTTCTAATTCATGTCCCTAGGATTCTCCCCAAGGATTAAAGTGCAGACGCATTTCCAAGGAGCCTCTTTCAAGCAAGGGGCATAAGGAAACTTACAAATGTGTTTCATGATATGACTGTGATTTGTGATGCTCTAAATATTGTAGCACAGAAGCTTACCAATGTCTGGTTTTGGTGTTTTTTTTGTTTGTTTTGTTTTTTTTTTTCTCAGCAGAGGAACCCTTGGGACAGACGGGTATTAAAGAAAAAGAGAAATGAACTAAAATAAGAATAGTCACCCAGGAGGAGGATATAAACAAATGGAGGAGAAAAAAACCCTGCAATCTTCTGGAAAGATGAGTGCTGCAGGTTAGAGGTTGTGTACTAACTGAGGCCAAGTAACTGTTGGGAAAGCTATGCAGTACTGCATTGGTCCTAGAGGCTACATTTCAAAAATGTATTCAGCAGAACAATCTACTAGTGCTATTTTTTTCATTTTCATATTTTGCTTGTCTTTCAAAGGCAAAATAATTAAAAAATATTAATTGCAAATATACAAGTGGATCCATTTTTTGTGTGCTAGTATTCAACTAAAGTCTTCTTCAGTCATCTTCTGCACCTATCAGATCAAAACTTTTTACTTGAGAAATGTAAGTTACTACTACAACACAGATAATAAATATTAATTTATGGAAAGCAATGATTACTGATAGTTTAATGAACTGTAAACTGCATTTCAACATCATCTAAGTGTCTTCAACTCATTTGAAAATGACAGCCTAAGTTCTCTCTTCGTATGCACACCTGGCTGGCCTTATGGCTGGAGATTTACAGGCTCTCGTATAATGAGAATGACAGAAAAGAGAGATTTGACTTAAGCAGGACATCTTTTCTCTCGCTGTTATGATTAACCCACACCCACCTGAGAGTATACTGCATGAAACTCATCTCTTCAGCAACAATCATTTCATAAACCACTCAGAATAAAAGAAAATTTACCTGCTTCTCCTGCAGACAGACAGGGAAGCCGGCATGCAAATGGTTTGTCATCACGTTCAAAGTAATGAAGAAATCTGACTGCCAAATTCATCATTCCATGGCACATACTCCTTTGGAGAGTGTAAATCCATAATGCAATTAAAGAGATTGACCTTAATCAGTTATCTTCATTATTGCATTTGATAGTATGTGATTTGCTTATCACATTTATTAGCACTGCTACAGAGCTCAGGTGCTGCAGGGGAAGCTCTACAGAGACTCCAGAACCATCTGGAGGTGCTGGTGGTGCACCAGCACCTTCCCCGACATGGCCATGACTTGGGTGTGCTCTGCTCCACCACTGCTCAGGAAGGGCAAGTCCAGCATGCTTCCAGCACAGCACTGGAAGATACAAAGCCTCATAGCCACTCTTTCGTCCTTTTTACCAGTGGAGAAGTAATGATTGCCCATAAGCCTTTCCAGTCCATTTCAGGGTGAGAATGGAGCACCGACTCACAACAGTAACAAGACTGAAGTTTGACAGCTGATGCTGTTAATGCCCTCAACTATTGGCAGCCCCCTAAGTGCTACCCAATGTCAGAGAGAACTGAAAAAAAATTGAAGCAGCTCTTGAAAACCCCAAATTTACGGCCTCAGGCAGTGAAGGAACCTGAAATCAGTGCCAGAAGACTTAGCAAGGCAGAATGAAAGCTGCAGTGGTTTAAGGAATTGCTTCCTAACATTAGTCATTGGGTGGTAATCTGCATAGAGGACCAGGGCAAACATCTGGGAGTGGTAACTGCTTCCGTCATATTAACTTTCATCCATCTGCATTTGTGAATCAACACTCTCTAACAAGAGTGAAAATCATTGCTGAAGGCTGTTTTAGTTCATTTGTGTGACTTTGACTCAAAATTGAGCAGGCATACTTAAATAGTCAGGAACCACATCTGAAGTGCCTGAAAGGTAATACCTAATATTAGAAAAGCAGTTTCTTAAATTTGCTCCCAGAAGTAACTGACCTTGTGAGTGTAACTACTCCCTTTCAACCAGGTTAGTCTAACCCACCTTCCGTTCAATGTCATCTTCATGGCTTTTACTCTGAAGCAGACTGAAAGCACTCACGTGGTCCATACACCTGAGAGGCAGCTGAGGGAAACTGCCACCTCTCATCGGTGAATCTCAGCATGAATGCATGGCTCCTGGGTGACTACTGAGACTATTTCTAAATCCTTTCAGCACAAGGTCACAGAGATTGACTAAAACCACCTCACCTTATCACAGAATCAAAAAATCATAGAATAGTTTGTGTTAGAAGGGACATTTAAAGGTCATCTAGTCCAACCCCGCTGCAGTGAGCAGGGACGTCTTCAACTAGAACAGGTTACTCAGAGCCCCATCCAACCTGACTTCAAATGTTTCCAGGCATAAGGCATCTACCACCTCTCTGGGCAACCTCTTCCAGTGTTTTACAACCCTCATCATAAAAAATTTCTTCCCTATATCTAGTCTGAATCTACTGTCTTTTAGCTTAAAACCATTACCCCTTGTCCTATCACTATGGACCCTACTAAAAACTTTGTCCCTGTCTTTCTTGTAAGCCTGCTTCTAAGTATTGAAAGGCCACAACAAGGTCTCCCTGGAGCCTTCTCTTCTCCAGGCTGAACAACACCAGCTCTCTCAGCCTGTCCTCGTAGGAGAGGTGTTCCACCTCTGATCATTTTTGTGGCCCTCTCTGGACCTGTTCCAACAGGTCCATGTCTTTCCTGTACTGGGGACCCTGGATTTCGATGCAGTACTCCAGGTGGGGTCTCACGAGAGCAAAGTAGCAGGGGACAATCACCTCACTCGACCTGCTGGTCATGCTTCTTTTGATGCAGCCCAGGATATGGTTCCTTTTGTTTGTTCAGGCATGTGGTGATTGACTTTGTAAGGGTTCCTTACTGATTTTGACAGAGTAAAAACCAAAGATCTAAGCCATCTCCTTGACTTAATGGTCCTAAAAATATTCATGTTGTTGGCATGAATATGAAGGAGTTGAGGAAGCTGCTCTGAACCTCTCTCAACTGTTCATTACTGGGCTCCATGGTGGATCATGTCACTGGACTGAACCAGCATGCAGGAACTTGAAAGGCACAGTTACATCAGGTGTGGATACAAATTTGATGTGTAACATCATGCATGAGTTGGTACCAAGAGCTCAGTCATACAACCACATAGACATAGTTTTTGGGTAGACCAGAACTGTTCAAAACCAACAGAATGAGAGGAGATTACACCCAAAGCATGAGACTGAGCTAGCTGGAGTTGGTTTTTGATCTTTTAATGAATGCTGAAAGAGTTAGGAGGAAAGACAGGTTGTGAAGGGTTTCCAGAATGAAGTTGTTTTCATGTGAAAAAACTGCTGGCACATGCTAGGCAATGCATATTTCTCAGTACAGTCATAGCTAAAGTGATAGATGAAGAAAATGTATCATTGTTTCAGGTGGGATTTCTGAAGCAGGGCAAATTGCAAGGTCAAAGAATAGATGTTCCTGCAATTGATTTCAAAGTATTAAGATATAGAACAAGTATTTTTGATTCACAATGGATAAAAAAAGTCCTTATGCTAGTAATATTGTGCAGAGAGTTTGCAAATCATATGGATTGCCTGGATCTAGCTAGATACATGTTTAGAAAAAGATGAGATCCAGATGAAGAGATTGAGGAACTGGCAAGATAAGAAAGCATTCAAAAGACATCAAGGCTATATATACAGAAGATAGAACAGTCAGAGGAAGATTAAGGGTATTGTTTTATTATACTAAACTTGACATCTCAATGTCTGGCTGGTAACTTTCAGAGAGATAGCATGGATTTTCATTTGGATAGCAGAAGCTTTGGACAGATAGCTGTGTAAATGATAAGCACAAACTAGTTAAATTTATATTTGTGAAAGAAATAGGCTAGGAAGAAAGAAAGATGGAAGTTTCAATGTGCCACATAGAAAACTGGGGTTGGGGAGATGGAGGACGAAGATGTGATAAATAGAACACTGGGAAGAACCAAAGGAGAAGAAAATCTCCAGCAAACAACCAAGGTCGATTGCTCCGAAGGCAAGAGACATCAAAGAGAATGAGGCTGAAATTCAGGCTTTGACATTTTGTTCAGAAGCAGTCCAAATGATAGATACAATACAGGCTTCTTTGCTTGATTCACAACACAGAGGTACCATGAAGACTTACAAATGGTCTTCATTTTACTTAACTGTGAAACATGATAAAAGCAAAGCCCAATTCACTCTGTCACAGTTTTCAGTTTAAGATCTACGAAGACTCTATTCATCAATCTGGAAGCGGTAAAATAAAACAAATATTCCTCCAGAGTTTCTGAACAACAATAGAGAATAATCAAGAGCATTTGACTCTTGAGACTATACATATACACATATACATTACATACATACATACATATATTTACATAAATGTATTTTCACTGTCTGCATAGGTTGTATTTTATGCTCAGATAATTTGAACATGTGTTTTGGATTTTGCCATTTGCGTCATATGCTATTTATTAATGTGAAGAAAAATAGTTCAAAAAAACAGCTAAAACTGTTCTTCACCGGGCATCAAGAGCAAGGATAAAAATGGTAGATTAAGAAAAAACAGCTAAACTGCTTGATGCATTTGCAAGTTCCCTTACAGTGCGTTGTGAGCAATTTTTTCAAGACTCTGGATGAGGTAGGAAGAAGGCGGAGAAGGAGCTGTGTAAATGACACAGCCAGCATGATGGACCACAGAAAGGATCTTTATAGCAAGACTACACTTCATTTTGTTACAGATACAACCTCATTTTCTTCAGTGTACACCAATTAGGCTGGTTATATTGACATATGATGTACAAAGGGAAGAAGACCTGGGGGGCTGTGGGAACAGACTGCTGGATGGAATTCACCTGTTATAACTCTAAAGATCTAAACCACAATTATCTATCACTGAATGAGTCTCTCTAGCCTCTGTTTGGATCCAACTGGGAGAAATAGGCACCTCCAGAATGAAGCCAACTGACCCTAAAATGAGGTGGTTATTCCTCTTCTTCGACTATAAAGGAAGCTGAGGCTGATTGTTTTACAGGTAGATTCCCAGGTTAGGGCAAATGAGTCTGGCTTTTTCTTAATCCTTCCTTTAATTTCTTTGGCTTTTTTATAATTTTGGGGTGAATACTCAACATGGTGGCAAAATTCCAGCAGACCAAGGGGAGAGTGGGAGTGAGGGGAAAGGCAGACACCATGACATTTCACTGATCCTGTATAAAAAGTTCAAATTACTCTCACCACATTATTATTGTGCATTATTTACTTGAGTATATGTTACACACTGTATTCACCAGTTACACATTGATACAGAAATCTCTTGCAGAAAAAATCTCTATTTCAGTTGTAGTAAGAATCCCACAACTCTATAAGGCAAAAGTGGTGCTGTCCTGTGCTGCAGACAGCCTTGCTCTTCCCAGTATTAATCTGTCCACTGCAGAAAAAGTTTATTGCCCTGCAGAAAAGCCAGAAGCCAACCCTCTGCATGGAAAAGATCCAGTGGTTGGCAATGAGGAGACTCTGTTCTCTCACATTCTTCTTAAATAACACAGGTATACCTCCTGTAAATCAGGCTAAAAGAATGAGCCCAGGAAGCATTTTCAAGTGCTTTTCTAACAATGCTTTGTGACTTTCATTGCAAATTCTCGCTGTTAACAGCAGATGCTTAAAGACCATGCAAAATGAAAACCTACCCTGTGTCTCTTCTGTTTTCAATTGAACTGGAATGAATTGTTCTAATTCTGGCATTGAAATCAAAACACCCTAAATTACAGTAATTTGTTTCTCTTTGTGAGTCATTACATACTTTCAGATGGCACATTACTCAGGCCTTCAGTAAGGGTCTAATCCTATGGGCTTCTTCAGGCCAAAGCTCTCAGTTAAGTGAGCCGGGGCTGCACTCTGCAGACAACCCATCCCACACCCTGGCACAGGGCACCACGCGGGCTCTCTGCTCCCAGACACAGCGAGGTCCTCCTGTTCTGTGGTGGGGGAAATACACAGTGTCACCGGCTTGAGGAATTTCATCTTTCATTGCTGAGCCCTTGATGCTGATTGCTTCAACAGCTTCTGGTTGCTCATGGGAAATCGGCCACGCTGCAGTCTGCTGTAAGGAGGAGGCAGCCCCAAGGGAGAGGGTAACACGTGGAGCATCTGCCCCCTGGGATATAGGATTTGGACCCTGCTCTCCCTCCTCTGGCTGCTCCAGGCTGAATTCTAGCTGTTCTTTCATGTTACTCTGCTACAGTGGCTTTTAACCATTTTCAGTCCCACTTGCCCACATCCTGTTGGGATGGAATGCAAGGAAAGGAGGTAGGAAATGCATCCCAGTTGTGCTCTGTAGCACCTAATGCTTCCTGGGGCACTCTGAGTCTGCTGGGGGTAATATATTTGGGATTCAGAGGGCGAGTGTATTGGGTTTATGTGGCAAGGTTTTGGTACGGGGGAGGCTGCAGGGGTGATTTCTGTGAGAAGAGACCAGGAGCTGACCTCATGTCAGACACAGCCAACTCCAAGACAGACCTGCTGCTGCCCAAAGCTGAGTCCATCAGTGACGCTGGTAGTGCCTCTGTGATAACATGTTTAAGAAAGGGTAAAAAATGCTGCATATCAGCTGGGAGAGAGGAGAAAATGTGAGAGAAACAGCCCTGCAGACACCAAGGTCAGTGAAGAAGAAGAAGGGGAGGAGGTGTTCCAGGCGCCAGAGCAGAGATTCCCCTGCAGCCCGTGGTGCAGCCTGTGGTGAGGCAGCTGTGCCCCTGCAGCCATGGAGAACCACAGTGGAGCAGAGATCCTCACTGCAGCCTGCGGAGGACCCTCACTGGAGCAGGTGGATATGCCCTGACGGAAGCTGCAGGCCACGGAGAGGAGCCCACACAGGAGCAGGTTTTCTGGCAGGAACCATGGCCCATGGGGGACCCACGCTGGAGCAGTCCATTGCCAAAGGACTGCACCCCATGGAAAGGACACGTGCTGAAGCAGTTCTTGGAGAACTGCAGCCTGTGAGAAGGACCCAAACCGAAGCAGAGGAAGAACATGAGGAGGAAAAAGTGGCAGAGACAACACATGATGAACTGACCACAACCACCATTGCCCATCCCCCTCACTGCTCAGGGGGAGGAGGCAGAAGAATTAGGAATGAAGTTGAGCCTGGGCAGATAGGGGGTTGGGGGAAACAATTCTGGTTGTTTTTTTTTTTTTTTTCATTTTTATTTCTCACTATCCTATTCTTTATTGTTATTTATTGACCACAAATAACATTGATCTTCCCCAAGTAGAGTCTATGACAGTAATTGCTCAGTGATCTCCCTGTCCTTATCTCAACCTATGAGCTTTTAATCTTATTTTCTTCTGTCTTGCTGAGGACGTAAACTGAGAGAGCAACTTGGTGCCCACCAGCTAAGGATAATTTACCACAGAGAGGAAGGAAGAAAATGCTATCACTACTTTTTATGAGGAACATATAATAGTAGCACGTTGAGAAAAAAATTACCTGTAAGGTAATCAAGGCATTCCAATAATTTCTTCTCCCTGGTAAAATCAAGTGCGAAAGTATCAAAAGTATCATTGAGATTAATTTCAGGAATTAGAACCTGGGAGGATGCAGTTGCCATGGAAACCCTATAATGAAAAGAAAAAAGTCTTTTAGAACCCAAGACATGATATCTTTCACATCAAGGTAGGACTTGATCATCATGATTGTTATCGCTTCTCAAAAAGCCTGACAAAAACTATTACATGTATTTTATTTATGCAAGTTATGAGCTTCTCCTACCACTTTAACTTCCGGGAGTAAAGTCTCCAGTAAAAATCCCTTATTACTTTGCTTTGGCTAACATGTACCATCAGATAAGTTTTTAACAAAATACTGTCTAAACGACAATATACTTTGAATTGTTCTTTCCAGTCATCCACTGAACCAAAGTTGCAACAGCACCAATTTTTATTTGTATTATAAGCAATCCTGACAGATGCTGCGTCCCTCCCAACCCTTGTTTTCCCAAGCAGCTTCTTGCTCCAGGCATTCCTTGGCTCTGCTGTCCCAAGGGCTTGGTGCAGATCCCCACACCTCCTCAGCTGTTCAGCACTGCGCACTGCTGCTAACTTCAAAAAGCACAGGGGGGGGAGATAAAACAAATAGATGTCAGCACAGTTTATTTTGAAAGGCTCTTCTCTGCAAAGCATGTGTGCATACTTACATTTCCTCCAAAACTACCAAGTTTCCTTGTCTACCTCATTTCAGGAGCTACATCCGCTTTTTGTCGGTCCAGCCGTACTAACATAGCGAGATGAGTTTTCACAAGAATACTGCCACCAGGTTGTATGTTTCAGATCCTTCAACCTGATATCTCAAAGTATGTGTTACTGGAGAGCTGGATATTGGATATGTTTACAGAAAGTTTGGTCCATTTAAGCAAAGAGGTTATGAAACCTCATTTGTTAATTGTTTGAGTTTGGAGGTAGACACACAACCATGCACACAAGGTATGTCAGTTATCTGTCATTCTCGACACATCAGATCAAAATATTTTGATTGCTTCAATTAACAGTTTCCCAAATTAGAGTACCCCTCTGTAGACATGACTCAATGGCTCCAGGTCAAATGTTTACTAAAAACTATGTTTTCATATATTTCTTTTGTAGCAGTATAGAAAAATGCAGTTAGGAAAGCCAAAAACTCATTGTCTTCAGTATAGGTTTCAAAAGCTGAGCTAAGGAGGTTTCCTAGTCAGTAATTCATGTTATACAGTTTTCAGCACTGTTTCTCTTGAACTGTGGTTGTAAAACTTGAAGTAGATCCTAGTACAGATAGTACAGATGGGTTTGTTTTTTTTTTTTTCTCCAGGGGATAATTGAAGTGCCTTTTGTCCCATCTACTTAGAGGGAAATCCCCTGAGCTCTTTCACTTCTTTCCCCCCGCTCCCATCCCCCCATAGTTCATCTGCAGTTCCACTATGGTGTTTTATATCTAGTAAGAAAAAAAGACATGCATTTCCTGTAGGGCCTGTGTTAGGTCAATAATCTTCATGAAATTAACAATGGCTTTGCTAAGAAACTAGCAAACAGGTATCTTAGATGAAGAGCTTCTTTGAGTACCTCCACAAAGCGCATATTTATTGTGAAGAAGAGCATATCACCCGGCCCTTTTGGACTTTCTTTGGGGCTATGCAAAGGATGCACTGTGGCTAAGTGTGTTAAAGTCAGTTTTCAGTGAGCTCAGCAGTTTGCAGTCTCAAACACCATGTCACCACATTAGGTTCAGAGGACTGAATTTCCTCTTGTACTTCTGCCTGCTCTATCTGACATGGTACTTGGCTGGAAAGGATTTTTCTAGGATAAATGGATTTCACCCACTGTAAATAATGCACAACCTAAATCACTGTAGTGTGTGTAATGTCTTTGCTATACATAGTTACCTGTTGTGCCTACCACAGACAATATTATACTGCAATTACTTTGAAATATATGCATGAAGAAATGCAATGAATATAATTTCAGGAGACTGTTTTAGCTGCTGGAGCTCAGGGCCCTGGTGAGACTGTTACATGAGCAGTCTAGAAGCATGCAAAATATTGCTCACCACACGAGAACTAAGAGAGTTGCTCGTGGGGAATAATTTATTAATCAGATTTAGTCTCTTTTTCCACTTGCAATTTGTCTGTGAGCACTTGGGTTTTTTTCCCCTCGGTTTTATTCCCCACTTGAAATGACTTTCAGGGCGTTCACAGCTATCTCATTACAGACTGCAATCTGTGATAGCCAAGAATTAGAGTTGATTGGGCACATATGTCAGCTGGTCTCATTTCTGCTCTCCGAGTGCCTCTCCTATGACTGTATTTATGATGCAAGTGTTCACGTTCACAAGGTGAAAACGCAGCTTCTCTGCATATTCTCTGGTAGTCAGTTAAAAAGCTTTGTGCCTCCACAGGTTTCTGCCCTACCGCTTGTCCCACTGAATACTGAAAAAAGGCCAGACCCTGACCTTAAGATTTTTGATCATGATACTCATGTGGCAGTTTTACTGTCAGCTTCAGCTGGCAAGACGAAGTGCCACAACGTAGACTGGTGAGAGAATACAAGCCAGGGTCTGAGTCTGACAGATCAAATCATTGCCTTGCCTTGCCTTTTGCCTTTTGCCTTTCTCAACAGATTTTCAATTCTCCAAACCTGTAATGAGCAATCCAGTGTTGCTGGCTTATTTATATATGAATTAAATAGCTTTGGTGAAGCCTGATATTCAGAGAATCTGCATCCAGCACTCCAGAGTGAGTAATAGACTTAAAACAAAAAAAATAGTAAGGGCAGGGAATTTCATGCTTTGTATTAGGTGAAAATTGGTTGGACGATGTGAAGATACAATGTGAACCCAGAGATTAAAAAAACTCAGCTGAATAAATAAGCATAACTTTTTAATATTTTTCTTCTTCATTGTCCAGATAAATTATATTTTTTTAAATTTCTCTGACTGATGGCTAAACAGCTGATAATTCCAACAGAACTTTTTTTTTTTCATCAGAAAATACTAGTGAAATTCAGTGGGAATGTTTCAGCATGCACAGTGTTGTACTGAAAACCAGACCTAATTTTCTGACAGCACGGTTTCCTAGAAAGACTTGTTCCCTTGTCTTTGGGTCCTTGATATATCTGGCATGCTGAAAATGAGCTAGGATCCTAGAAGTAGTAGAAATTTCTCTACCCAGGGACCCAACTCACCAATCTGTTGAATCTCCAACTCTTTTGAGTGGGGTACCTCAGAGACGCATGTTGCAGGTTCCCAAAGTCACACATTTTGTTACCTTACTGCTTGCTATTTTTTGAACAATATGAATCCTTTAACATAACTCCAAATCTCTTCTAAGGAATGTACTTGCTGCCTGATTTCTTTCTCAATCTCAGAACTTTTCATGGCGTAGGAATTTCAGCATCCATAAACATTTTTTTTAGTGAGTTTAGCACCAGATATGTGCTTTGTGTCCATGCTACCTCCTTCATTTGTGCATGCTATTACTGTTCTAACTTATTTTGCACCCTTTTTCAACTCTTCCTCTTTTCAAAGGGATATTTTGGTTTAGCATTACAGTAAGGTCCTTGCCATTCTGGTACAGCACAAAGTAGCCTTTCCGGGGAATGTGTCAATTAACCCCCCACCTTTGACCACATCTGCGGTGGGACAAGACAATATGGCAACTACGGCAACCTATTTGCCTTAAATGGGGGTTTTGCAACACAAAATTCTTTACCTTTCAGTGATATTTTTAGCAGTTTGCAGGAAGCGAGCATGATCGTTCTCCTTCAGCGACTGTTCAGCCTGAGAGATGAGGGATGTCGAGCGCTCAATGCACTGTTTGCAGTTCGCAATCTGCTGAGCCAGTTTTCTCAACCTCACCACCTCAAGTGGGAACATAAGAAAGCAGTCACATCTCTAAGGTCACAAATCATTATTGCATTTTCACTTCTGAGGCAAAGCTGGAATGCGAAGGGGCAGTTAAGACAAACGGCTTTGCTGACAAGAGCTTTTTTCACACTAGCTTGATGGTGAGTCCCTTCCACTAGCCACATAACATTTTTAATAAGGGGACAGGCACAGCCTTTCTGCCTCAATATTTTCCATGTGGAAAACAACAGGGGAGAGCCAAAACAAGCACAGCTGGCCTACTTTCCAGCAGAAGAAACGTCATTTCCTGGTAGTTTCTGCTTACATGATAACCAAGGGCTATTTGGATAACCATTTCCCTGAATGATGAGATCTGTGTTAAAGGCATCTTATAGACTATCTACTTTTTTCCTGTTACTGAGGTGAGTTTCATTAAAAATAATTTTAAAATAAAACCTGACGGAAACTGACACTGATCAATTCTACTAACAATACACACCTGCCCTTTTCATTATGTGCTTTTAGGCAAACAGGGTGTTCTCTTGTTGGATATTTTTAACTGGACAAAAGCACAGTAGTGCTGGAGAGCTGATTATTATTACTGCAAACATATGTGTATGTTATATGGAGATAAACACAGTAGATACGACTGTAATCATTAGCTGAAAGGTTAGGGAGGGGCACAGTAAATCCTGCATTTAAAGACAATGTTGGCTAACAGAACTTCTAATTCCTGAAAGGTCTGGGAGTCCTTCCTATTGTTATCACATCAGGACCGTAGTTTGAACAGGAATAAGAAATAGGAAGGAAATGAAATAATTCTGGAGTTTAGAAAGGTATTAAGACCCAGTTACATGTAAAATGAGGAAACTAACAACCAAGTGGATTGGCAGAAATATCCAAATTCATAATCAAGATAACGTTCCAAATCTCATAATTAAGGCACAAGCTATGAAGTTGCTGAGTTGAACTTCAGATATAATTGCATCCTAAGTAGAGATAAGGGTATCCTAGTGCACCTACTCGACAACAGAAACCAGTAGGAAAATAAATCTTTTGGAAAACTTTCTAAAAGAAAATACTGGACAAATGATTAGCATCTTGCAAAATTAGTATTTTATCTAAAGATAGAAACAGTAACAGGAGAAAAATGCTGGGAAACCATAAAGATTATGACAATGCTACTGATCTGATCCCCTTCTAGGAGGAACTAATGCCATAACTTTTTCTCTAACTGTGCATTTGCAGAGACTACAATTTGGTCTACACCAGTCTAACCAGGGAAATGTTCATTGAAGTATTAAGTAGCTCATCTCTTTATTTACTTATTAATTAACAAAACAAACAATTAACTGAAATAAATGTTACCTTGTGAGCTTTGAGCAATCAGAAGGCCTGTCGTGATTCGTGAGATCTACATATGAACTAGGTTTTTTGTTTTCTTGATTCTTGTTTCATGTCTTCTTCAGGAAGACAACTGATGATAAATTTTAAAGGGAAGAGTGTTGTCTCACCCGCTCCCCACCCACCCTACTGAAGGCAGGAATGACATCTACACTAAAATTATCTATTTGATATTTAAGCGTTTTTTTCCTGTTATGTGCTCTGTGGTATTTTACAGGTTTTGAGAGATAGGTGAGATTAAGGATGGAGCTGTACCACACTGTCCGACTCACATGTCTGAATCCACAGTCTTGCACCCATAACTAGAACTTTATACCTGAGTGTTTCCAGCTCTGCAGCCATAACTATAGCCCTGCAGACAAATTTGCCGTGCCCTACCTTCCAGAAAGACTCTTAGCCACAGGCCCCCTTAAAAAGAACTACATTGGGCAGAATTTCCTGTGGCTTTTCACACGGGTGTCTTGAACCCCTGAAATCTTTCAACATATGCAAAATTTGGGGGCAAAGCATTTCAGATTTTAACAGACCTCTATTGGTATCACACTTGACTGAACAAAGTACAACAAAGAATGCGATAAATTCTGATATCAGCTGTATTAAAAAAAAAGAAATCAGAGTCAATTGTATCATAAATCTTCCATGCTCTAATGGATGTTAGAATACATTTTTGCAAGCAATAGACTTTTTAAAAGGAACTCATGTATGTAGCACAAATCCAAATGAATGGAAAGTTTTCTCCTTCATTGGAAGCACAGCTGGTCTCACTGCATAGAGAAACAAAGTTGAAACAATAATGCAGAAGGCGATCTTTTCCATTTTGAAGAGAATTCTGTTATGTTAACAGCATGAGGAAATTCAGGTTCTGTCACACAATGTCCAGGATCTGTGGTTTCAAACATGTTTAAGTTGGTCCTTGCCTACAGTCTTTTTATTTTAAGTTAATTGGAATATCTTGACAGCTGCATGAATCATCTAACCTGCTCTTGACTCTACTCCTTTCCTGAGCTTTTCCCACACAAGAAGAGTTTATATTTGACGTAGTTAGTTTAGCAGTTAAAGAGTAAACACCACGTACCTAGAAAATAGGAATATTAATTCAACTCTAATGTGTTTCTGAGTTATCAGATAGCTAGAAAAATGCATTAAAACTTGAATAACAGGGATTTTTCCTGCTCAATATGTTTATCGCTAATAATCATTGTACTTCAGTAATTAGAAATGCACTCTTCCTTTGATTTCCTGCATGTTTCTGAATATTTTTGAGATAAATAAGTCAGATTTCCTGTTCTCAAGAATGACAATGATTGAAACAAATTGTTTATGTGATAGTATTATAATAAATAATTTCAGTATCTAGACAAATATATTCATTGCCAGCCACTACACTAAATGTTGTGACACTTTGTGAAAGTGAAAACTTTGGGGGAAACACTGTCAGACATACAACAGAGTGAAGGAATCATTAATTAGCCACCATTTATTGTCATTTACTGATTATCCTTAAAAATCATAATCAGATGTAGTAAGAGAAATGCCAAATAAACTGTTGAGGTCTGGCACACTAATCCTGACATATCTCATTCTTCTTTACATGAAAGTAGCAGTAGCCCAGGACTACAGGGGACTTTTACAAATTTGTATTAATAGTACCTGAGGTCAAAAAGCCATAAGCACGAGGAATCAGAGTAGACCTACTTGTGATCTAAAGAAGAAAAGCTTTTACCTTTCCTTCCTTGATTTTGGTTCCAATTATTTGTCGTCTTTGCTGGATTATTTCAATGAGCTGGTCACATTCTTCCATCAGCTTGGTTTCTTGGCGGGATGCATTTACCTACAAAGCAAACCATTTTGATTAGCAAAATATTTTTGGACATTTTCCTTTTTCTAATTTTAAATTTTCAATTTCTAAAATGTTGGTTTTGGCATTTTTTGCTGCTTTTTGTGTATAATCTATGTGTTATTTTGTTTTCCCTGTCTTGGATTTTGTGAAATAATACTGAAACAAGTCTGAATGTCGTGTTTGTAGGAGGTAGGACTTGCAGATAGGTACTCATCAGATATTTCTAACTCAAGAGACAAAAGCCTGGTCCTGTGAGTACTGAGTGATGCCAGTTATAGTGGACATCAGTGAGAAGTGAAGGCTTTTCAGGAGGTGCTTAACAGATCACAGATTCAAGCTGTATGTAGGACCGTAGTGAACACTAATGCACCTAAGAGCACAAGTACTGTATCAGACAGTCCATTTAGTGCAATATCCTGTCCCTTGCTGCTGCTAGTGCCAGCACCTGCTAGTAAAGTATCTTAGGAAGAAGTCTCAGCATGTATGATGATTCCCATTAATATTTTTCTCATCCTCCAACCATTTGCAGCTCAGCATCTTCTTGAACCAGACACAATTTCTGCATCATTATTAATCCTCAAAAGAGTTCTCTTCTACAAATGTATTTAGTCTCTCCTTTAACCCCTGTAAACTTTAAGAATCCCCACCATCCTACAGCACTGAGTACAACAACGTAACTCACAGTCAAGTGAACAACTTCCTGTTTTAGAGGGATTTGAACCTGTCTCCTTCCAGTTGTGTTTAACGACCCCAAGCTCTTTTACTGGAAAGGACAGTGAACTACTGATACTTATCCACAGTCTCTCTGTGATTTTATCCTGTTTTGTCCTCTAGCAGGGCTTCTTTTCTACATTGAAGAGTCTTAAGCAATTCAGTATTTCCTTGTATGAAAATTATTCTGTATCTACAATCATCCTTGTTTTTCTTCTCTGTAACTTTGCCAGGTCTCTCATCTCCTTTTTGATATGGGCAACAGAACTTTACTAAGTACTCAAGGTGCAATGACACGATATGTTCTCTAATTCATCTTGTTTACTTTCATAATTATTTCTAATGTTTGATTTGCTGAATTTAACACTTCAAAATATTGTTTATCATTTTAAGCGTCCATACAGTGGTTGCTTAAAGATCCAAATTGACAAATATCCAAGCAACTCTACCAAGTCACGTGAATTGATGGTCAGCTTTATTATTACTACTCTGCCTCAGTAATGAATCAGCTATAAAATAAGAGCTGTGCTCATGTAGTTTTCTGGAGTATAAATATATGAGCCACTGAAACTATTTTTAGTGCAAAAAACCTCACAAAGAATATTAGCTTTCTATGGAAAATGTTGACATTTTGTAAAAAAATAAAGAAACTTAAAATAGAAAAGTTTTGGTTCTCAGCTGATAATGTTTTGGAGGAGACTGATTTTTTCAACAAAAAGTCAACATTCTGTATAACAAGAAAAATGTACTTCCTCACCAGCGGTAGTATGCATACACATATGCAAAAAGAGTCAGAGAAAAAGGCAAAAAGTCCTCATCATATCTAGAATAAATACAAATTTAAAGGAGTGATTTCAGAGCTGTTTCCATATGCACTTTGTTAAGTGGTAAAGCAGATTCAGCCCTGGCCAGTTATTCCTAGAGCCTCCTTTTCCATTGGGCTAGTAAGAGCTAGTGGTGAACATCAACAGGGAGCAGTTCCAGGTGACAAGAAACTTTATTTCCCCCCTTGGTTATTTTTCAGTCTGATGAACCTATTGATCTGCCTCAGCCTTCTTTTTCTTTTAATTGCAACAATGTGTTTAAACATGCAGCACACTATGGAGCTCATTAAGATGAAGCAAATGCTTATATATATAT